TATATTATATATATAATACTATTGTACTATACCACTATACTGCAGTTTTACTTGTAATATTACATGTAATATTTATTATATAACTAGCCGTCCCCTGTCACGCATTGCTGTGGCTCCCATTGCTGTGGGAGGTTTGGCCCAATTCTATCGTTGGTGGGGTTCAGAATGCTCTTTGAGTGTAGGTGAACTCTAAATCCCAGCAACTACAACTCCCAAATGTCAAGATTCTATTTTCCCCAAACTCCACCAGTGTTCACATTTGGACATATTGAGTATTCTTGTAGAGTTTGGTCCTGATCCATCATTGTTTGAGTCCTTAGTGATCTCTGGATGTAGGTGAACTACAACTCCAAAACCAAAGGACACTGCCCACCAAACCCTCCCAGTATTTTCTGTTGGTCACAGGAGTTCTGTGTGCCAAGTTTGGTTCAATTCCATCGTTGGTGGGGTTCAGAATGCTCTTTGATTGTAGGTGAACTATAAATCCCAGCAACTACAACTCCCAAATGACAAAATCAATTTTTTTGCGTGAAGGACATACATTGGGTCGTTAGGTGTCTTGTGTCCAAATTTGGTGCCAATTCATCCAGTGGTTTTTGAGTTCTGTGAATACCACCAACGAACATTACATTTTTATTTATATAGATTATTATATGTTATAATTATTAGTATTATATTGTATTACATTATAATATTATTATCAATAATATTCTCTACGGAGGTAGAGAAGATCGGAATATATTTTTTTTTAATAAATAAACAAAATGTCCTGCTCTCCCTTCCTTGGTCATGTCCTTGAACTGGGAAGATAGATGAAATAATAACCTGTGCATCAAGGCCCGTTATCTTCTACCCATAGCTTTGTCATCTTGTGTAATCTCCTGCATGCTATGCCTTGCAGTGTCCATAGTTCCCACATGGACCAAAAGCAAGGTGAAGTGGTCTGAGGGCTTGACAAGCCTTATCAGTCTCTTACATCACAGAGTTTTGCTCCATGTTGACAGCACACCTGTGAGATCCACAAACCACTTCTTCCATACCTCTCATCAGAGAATCTCCTATCACCACCACCACAAGTTCAGGGCACCTGCACATTCCCTAAGGTCTAGCACTGTTGCACTTCATGTTGTTCGACATCATCACCAATGCTGGAGAGAACATTTAATTGATTCACAGAACGATTCCTGGTCCTTCTATGTGTCACTTCCCTCCAAGTGTTTGTGAAGTGGTCTCCTCTTCAGAGACGTTCCTTGTTTGTTTCTCTTCCAAGACAGTCTACTCTGCAGTGTTCAAGACAACCTCCTCCTCCTACGTTGGAGTCTGGCTGCATGAGCCTCAAGCTGATGGACCTTTTCTTCCATGAGTGTCACCAACTTGCACTTGGTGCAAGTATAGCTATCCTCCACCTTCAGGTGAAAATAAAAAAGATACTGCAACTGTTGCAGGTAGTCACCTCACCATATATTTTGACCAGTCTTAGGTAGGAAATGGACCAAAACTATGGGCCTCCAACAAGCACAGAATGATTCCTGGTCCTTTTACTTCTATGTGTGTCACTTCCCTCCAAGTGTTGGTAAAGTGGTCTCCTCCCTAGAGATGTTCCTTGTTTGTTTCTCCTCCAAGATAGTCTACTCTGCAGTGTTCAAGACAACCTCCTCCTCCTACGTTGGAGTCTGGCTACATGGGCCTCAAGCTGGTGGACCTTCACTTCCAAGAGGGCCACCAAATTGCACTTGTTGAAAGTATAGATTAACTACCCACCATCTTCAGGCAAAAATACAAAGATATGGCAGTTGTTGCAAGTGGTCATATCACTATTTATTTTTTACCAGTCTTGGGTAGGAAGTGGACCAAAACTATGGACCTCCGACACAAACACAGAATGATTCCTGGTCCTCCTACCTCTCTGTGTCACTTCCCGCCAAGTGTTGGCAAAGTGCTCTCCTCCCTAGAAACGTTCCTTGTTTATTACTCTTCCAAGACAGTCTACTCTGCAGTGTTCAAGACTACCTCCTCCTCCTATGTTGGAGTCTGGCTACATGACCCTCAAGCTGATGGACCTTCTCTTCCAAGGGGGTCACTAACTTGCACTTGTTGCAAGTATAGTTATCCTCCACCTTCAGGTGAAAATAAAGAGATACTGCAACTGCTTCAGGTAGTCACCTCACCTGTCTTAGGTAGGAAATGGACCAAAACTATGGGCCTCCGACACAAACACTCCTGCTAAACATGCATCATAAACACCCATGTTGGTCTTGCCTGTCCACCACAACCAAAGTCAGAACTCATTTTGGGTGAAGTTGGAGTCAGTAGAAACATGCCAACTTGCATTCAAGTTTGGAAATCCATAAAAGTTGGACGGGTCCCGAGTGGAGAAGGCACTACCCTCCAGATGTTCTGAATTTTGATTATCATAAGCCTTGCAAAACATGGTCAATGGTAAGGCAAGAAAAGTCATAGAATCACAAGAGTTGGAGGAGACCACAAGGACCATCCAGTCCAACCCCTCTGCCCAGTTGAAGTTGAAGTCCAAAACACCTCAAGGGAGGTTCCAAGTTTGCCCATGCATGGTATGTATATGCATGCCTGATTTCCATGCTGCCTGTACACAATACCCATGTCTTCAAGTTGCTCGACCAACCTATAGCAAAGCCATTCACTGCACAAGCAAGGGACACTCAAAGGTTGTTCTGCCAGTTCCTTCCTCAATAAATATAACCCCGGGCATCTGGAAGTTGTCACTGGCATCTTCTCCAAGTAGGAACCAAACAGATCTGACTCTGTGGTCGAAGGCTTTCATGGCCAGAATCACTAGGTTGTTGTGAGTTTTCCAAGCTGTCTGGCCATATTCCAGAAGCAGTCTCTCCTGACGTTTCGCCCACATATATGGCAGGCATCCTCAGAGGTTGTGAGGTCTGTTGGAAACTAAGCAAGTGGGGTTTATATATCTGTGGAATAATGTCCAGGGTGGGAGAAAGAACTCTTATCTGTTTGAGGCTATGCTGATGAGCACTGAATGTCCTTGCAGCTTCAAAATCTGGCTGCGTCCTTTCTGGAGAAGTCCTTTGTTGGGAGGTGTTAGCTGGCCCTGATTGTTTTCTGCCTGGAATTCCCCTGTTTTTTGAGTGTTGCTCTTTATTTACTGTACTGATTTTAGAGTTTTTAAAAATCTGGTTTAATCAGGGCCAGCTAATATATTTTGGCCTTGGAGTTTCAAAACAAGGCTGCTTCCTGTCTGGGGGAATCCTTTGTTGGGAGGTGTTAGCTGGCTCTGATTAAACTAGAACTCTCCCACCTTGGACATTATTCCACAGATATATAAACCTCACTTGCCTAGTTTCCAACAGACGTCACAACCTCTGAGGATGCCTGCCATAGATGTGGATGAAATGTCAGGAGAGAATGCTTCTGGAACATCGCCATACAGCCCAGAAAATTCACAGCAACCCATACCCTTTCCATACAGCTGAATAAAATCCCACATGATCTGTTTTGAAATGGGATATATGGCAGTGTGGACTCAGAGGCCTTCCACACAGCCCTATATCCCAGAATATCAAAGCACGAAATCCCACATTATCTGAATGTGGACTCAGATGACCCAGTTCAAAGCAGCTATTGTGGGATTTTCTGCTTTGATATTCTGGGATATAAGACTGTGTGAAAGGGTCCTCAGATAACCCAGGGCCTTTCCACACAGCCTGATATCCCAGAATATCACGGCAGGAAATCCCACATTATCTCAGTGTGGACTCAGGGCCCTTCCACACAGCCCGATATCCCAGAATATCAAGGCAGGAGATCCCACATAACCCTGTTCAAAGCAGATATTGTGGGATTGGGTTGTTGTAGGTTTTTTTCGGGTTATATGGCCATGTTCTAGAGGCATTCTCTCCTGACGTTTTGCCTGCATCTATGGCAAGCATCCTCAGGCAAAATGTCAGGAGAGAATGCCTCTAGAACATGGCCTCATGCACAATGGGGGACCTTCTTATAGCAACACCAGAAGCACTACAAATGGCCAGCTAATGGTCAAAGGACATTTAATAGAATACCAAGCCTGCAAACTTTGTGTTTTGTTTGTTTGTTTTTAATGTTTTGGTCCACTCCTGACACAATAAATAAATAAATGGCCATATAGCCCGAAAAAACCTACAAAAACCTAGTGATTCCAGCCATGAAAGCCTTTGACAATATATGGTGGGATTTTCTGCCTTGATATTCTGGGATATAAGGCTGTGTGGAAGGGCCCTGACTCTGCTTAGCTACCAAGATCAATGGAGTCCCTGAGCAAGGGCTTTGCTATCCATAGGCCACAAGCACACCAAGTCAGTGGGAGCCTTTCCACAGAATATCAAGGCAGGAAATTCCACAATATCTGCTTTGAATTGGGTTATCTGAGTCCACTCTGCCATATATTCCAGTTCAAAGCAGATCATGTGGGATTTTGTTCAGCTGTGGGGAAGGGGCCTGGGTGATCTGGTTCCACACTCAGATAATGTGGGTTCTCCCTTTTCCTTTCTTCCTTGGGCTCCATTGAGCAGGAGAAAGGGGAAGCAGCTGCCTTGCCTCTGCCCAGCCCCTCCCCCTCCTCCCCCTTTGGTTTTGGGAGGAGGGAAGGGGGGGGGTGAGTTTTCACTGGGGAGGTTCACATCTCTCTCTCTGTCTTCCTATTCCCCAGCATCATTGTCATGCACAAGCACCCCCTCATTCAGAATAATAACACTCGAGGTCTTCCCCACCCTCTGTGCCAAAAAGGGGGCGTCAAGAGGAAGAGTGAGGGGGGAATATGAGGAGGTGGGGGCCAGATCCAAGCCAAGGAAGGGCCTTGGCTTGGATCTGGACCAGATGTGCTCCAAAGAGGGGTCGGGTGGGGAAAAGGAGAGGGAGAAAGGAGAAGGAAGGAGGGGAGAAGTGGGGGGTGGGGGTGGGAATGTCCTCCCTTTCCTGACCCTCCCCATCAAGGAAAATCAGCCGAGAAGGCCCCTTTTTGGACTCACCCGGGCCGGCCAATGCGGGTAGCCTTTCATTTTGGCGAAGACGAGATCTCCGGCTTTGTATTCGCGGGGCCTGGGGCGAGCCATGGGGGCGGCGTGGCCCTCCCCGACCCCCGGCAGGGCGGCGAGGAAGAAGAGGAGGAAGAGAGAGGGGGAGGAGGAGGCCTTCCTCCCAAACTCTGCAAAGGGAGGGAGAAAAGGAAGGAAGGGGATGCCCTCTTCCCTGTTTCCAAAGGAGGAGGATGCTGGGGATGAGGAAAAGGGAGAAAGGGAGGGAGGGAAGAGGAGGAGGAGCAGAATAAAGAGGAGGAAGAGGAAGGGAAGAGGAGGACTTCCTCCCAAACTCAGCAAAGGGAGGGAGAGAAGGAAGGAAGAGGAGACCCTCTTCCCTGTTTCCAAAGGAGGAGGATGCTGGGGATGAGGAATAGGGAGGGAGGGAAGAGGAGGAAGAGGAGGAGCAGAAGAAAGAGGAGGAAGAGGAAGGGAAGAGGGGGACTTCCTCCCAAACTCTGCCAAGGGAGGGAGAGAAGGAAGGAAGGAAGGAAGGAAGGAAGGAAGGAAGGAAGGAAGGAGAAGGAAGGAAGGGGATACTCTCTTCCCTGCTTCCAAAGAAGGAGGATGCTGGTGATGAGGAATAGGAAGAAAGGGAGGAGAAGGAAGAGAAGAGGAAGAGGAGGCCTTCCTCCCAAACTGTGCAAAGGGAGGGAGGGGAAGGAAGGAAGGAAAGAAGGGAGGGGAAGAGGAGGCCTTCCCCCCAAACTCTGCAAAGGGAGGGAGAGAAGGAAGGAAGGGGAGACCCTTTTCCCTTCCAAAGGAGGAGGATGCTGGTGATGAGGAATAGGAAGAAAGGGAGGGAGGAGGAGAAGGAAGAGGCAGGGAAGAGGAGGCCTTCCCCCCCAAACTCTGCAAAGGGAGGGAGAACAGGAAAGAAGGAAGGAATGGGATGCTCTCTTCCCTGTTTCCAAAGGAGGAGGATGCTGGTGATGAGGAATAGGAAGAAAGGGAGGGAGGAGGAGAAGGAAGAGGAAGGGAAGAGAGGCCTTTCTCTCAAACTCTGCTAAGGGAGGGAGAGAAGGAAGGGATACCCTCTTCTCTTCTTCCAAAGGAAGAGGATGCTGGGAGTAGGAGGAGGAGAAGGAAGAGGAGGATGAGGAAGGGAAGAGGAGGCCTTCCTCCCAAACTCTGCAAAAGGAGGGAGAAAAGGAAAGAAGGAAAGAAGGGGATACCCTCTGCCCTGCTTCCAAAGGAGGAGGATGCTTGTGATGAGGAAAAGGAAGAAAGGGAGGGAGGAGGAGGAGAAGGAAGAGGAGGAGGCGGCCTCCAAAAAAGATCAGATCCGCTAGGCGACGCTGAGGAAAGAGATCCCCTTCTTCTCCTCCTTCTTCCCCTTCTTCTTTCCCTTCTCCTCCTCCTTCCCCTCCTTCCTCCCTTCTTCAGGGACCAAGGAGAAGGCTGGGCTACAAAGCCACCCCCAGCTTGAGAAACATGGAGGCCGCCTCTTCTCGCATCCCAAGCTCCGTTGGAGAAAGGCTCTCTCTCTCTCTCGGGTTCCTTCCTTCCTTCCTTTCTTTCCTGGGTTGCTTTGAAAGCAGAGCTCAATGCCGGCCGGGAGAACAAGGCTCCGTCTCTCTTTCCTCCTCCTGGTCTCTGCTCCCTCCTCCCTCCTGCCTGTCTATAGAGAAGAGGCGGACCGCTCCTCTCGTTCCCACGGCGCGAGGAAGCCGCTTTGCCCACTGCTCAACCACCCCATCCGGGCAGAGGCCCGCTTTGTCCGGAGAGGCGCCCACGCAAGCCACACACACACCCCTTTGGGACCCCAAGGTCTGCCAAGGAGGGCAATGCGGAGGGAGTGGGGCAGGGGCAGGGAGTGGGCATTCTTCCCCTCGGCCGGGGCAAGAGGAGGCCGCAAGATAAGACACTTCCCATTTGGAAAAATAATTACGAACATCCGCCTTGCAAACGATTCCTAGTTAAGAACAGGGGTGAGACAACAGGGAAGGAGAGAAATCTACTCCTAGGAAGGGAAATTCAATCCTGGAAGAGTTATCCTCAGGGAGGAATGGGGTCTCTCCACTCACTGAAGCTTTCTCACCAATCCTTGTGCTCTTCTACCCAGCCCCTTATAATAATAATAATAATAATAATAATAATAATAATAATAATAATAATAATAATAATAATAATAATGAGGAAAAACAACAGGAAAAACTCAGCCACTATCAAGACCTCAAAATCGAACTGCAAAGGCAAGGCTCTGGCATCAACCAGTCCAGGTGGTCCCAGTGGTCATTGGCACACTGGGTGCCGTGCCAAAAGATCTCAGCCAGCATTTGGAAATAATAAACATGGACAAAATCACAATGTGTCAACTGCAAAAGGCCACCTGACTTGGATCGGTGCGCATCATTCGGAAATACATCACACAGTCCTAGACGCTTGGGAAGGGTTCAACTTGTAATTTTGTGAAATGAAATCCTGCATATGGATCTTGTTTGCTGTGACATACTGTGCTTTTGTGTCAATAATAATAATAATAATAATAATAATAATAATAATTCTTGCAGCCCAGGAGCAAGCCATCAGAACCAATGCAATTAAGGCCAGGATCAAAAAAATCAGCGAATGACCCTAAATGCAGACTTCCTAAATGCAAGGAAGTTGATGAAACCATGGACCATATCCTCAATTGTTGCAAGAAAATCGCACAGACGGACTGCAAACAGAGGCACAACTCTGTGGTCCAAATGATTCACTGGAACTTATGTCACAAGTACTACCTGCCAATCGTAAAGAATTGGTGGGATCATAAACCCGCAAAGGTTGTGGAAAATGAACATGCAAAAATACTGTGGGATTTTCGAGTCCAGACTGACAAAGTTTTGGAACACAATACATCAGACATCACGATTGTGGAAAAGAAAAAAGTTGGGATTATTGATGTCACCATACCTGGTGGCAGTCGCATTGAGGAAAAACAACAGGAAAAACTCAGCCAGTATCAAGACCTCAAAATTGAACTGCAAAGGCTCTGATTGCATAAACCAGTCCAGGTGGTCCCAGTGGTTATTGGCGCACTGGGTGCCGTGCCAAAAGATCTCAGCTGGCATTTGGAAACAATAAACATCGACAAAATTATGATCTGTCAACTGCAAAAGGCCACCTTACTTGGATCTGCGCATCATTCGAAAATACATCACACAGTCCTAGATGCTTGGGAAGTGTTCGACTTGTGATTTTGTGATACGAAATCCAGCATAGAGATCTCGTTTGCTGTGACATACTGTGTTTTTGTGTCAGTAAAATAATAATAATAATAATAATAATAATATGCTATCAAAGCCAGAATTGAAAAGTCTACAACAGATCCAAAATGTAGACTCTGCAAAGAAGCAGATGAGACAATAGATCAAATCCTCAGCTGCTACAAGAAGATTGCGCAGACAGACTACAAGCAGACGCATAACATCGTTACTCAGATGATTAATTGGAACCTGTGCCACAAATACATCTGCCTGCGACAAAGAACTGGTGGGATCACAAGCCAGAAAAAGTTACAGAGAATGAACACATCAAACTCCTCCAGGGCTTCCGAATTCAGACAGAGTTCTTGGCCACAATACTTCTGACATCACAACTGTGTTAAAAAGCAAAGTATGGATTGTCGATGTTGCAATCCCAGGCGACAACAGGATTTAAGAGAAACAACTGGAAAAGCTGACATGACACGATGATTTAAAGATCGAATTGCAAAGACACAAGCCAATCAAGGTGGTCCCAGTGGTGATCGGCACACTGGGTGCAGTGCCTAAAGACCTTGGCCTGCACTTAAACACAATCGGCGCTGACAAAATTACCATCTGCCAGCTGCAGAAGGCTACCTTACTGGGATCTGCACGCATTATTCGCCGATACATCACACAGTCCTAGACACCTGGGAAGTGTCCGACGTGTGATCCAATACAACAGCCAGCAGAGTGTCTGCTGTGGACTCATCTTGTGTTTCAAATAATAATAATAATAATAATAATAATAATAATCTTTATTTATACCCTGCCACCCTCTTCCCAAAGGGTACTCAGAGTGGCTTACATGAGGCCAAGCCCAGCGATACATTACAGTGACATAAAATATAAACAACAAAATAACCTCACAATGCAATTAATAAGCCATTCAAGTAAAATAAACAGTGCAAAATAACATAATGGAAAATCAAACATAGTGGGCGGGCCAAATGCACAACATAAAATGATAAAACTCTGGATGAGATAGCAATGAAAAAGGTATATTTGTTGGGGAGGAGCTCATAGGGGACTGAACAGTGGAATTCGACTTTCAACAAGGTGGGGGGAAGTGCAATACGAGGAAAACAGTGTAGGTGAAGCAACAGGACAGGAATATATGGTCACTCTCCAGAGGCACATCGGAAAAGCCAAGTTTTTAGATCTTTCTTAAAGGCTACTAGGATGGGGGCTTGCCTAATCTCACCAGGTAGCGAGTTTCATAGCCATGGGGCTACAGCGGAGAAGGCTCTTTCCCTTGTTCCCACAAGTCGTGCCTGTGATAGAGGAAGGGGTGAAAGGAAGGCCTCCCCTGAGGATCGAAGGAAATGTGTAGGTTTGTGGTAGGATTTGCGGTCACAAAAGTAGGCGGGTCCCAAACTGTTTAGGGCTTTATAGGTGATAAACTGCACCTTGAATTGAGACCGGAAAATGAACGGTAGCCAATGGAGCTCCTTAAACAGGGGGGTTGACCGCTCCCTGTAATTTGCCCCAGTTAGTAGTCTGGCTGCCGAACGTTGGACCAATTGGAGTTTCTGGGCTGTCTTCAAGGGAAGCCCTACGTAGAGTGCACTGCAGTAGTCCAGTCTAGAGGTAACTTAGGCGTGGACCACCATGGTCAAGTTAGACCTCACAAGGTATGGTCACAGCTGCGCACTAGTTTTAATTGTGCTAAGGCCCTCCCAGCCACCGCCTACACTTGCACATCAAGCGTCAGCACTGAATCCAGGAGGACCCCCAAGCTGCGGACCCGTGACTTCAGGGGGAGGGCAACCCCTTATCTCAGGATCTGATTCCAGATTATAGTAATAATAAATAATAATAAACTTTATTTATACCCTGCCACCATCTCCCCAATGGGAGTCAGGGC